TAATATCTTTGATCATGTTGATGATAAAGTCAATGGCTTTAACACCCTCTTTGGTGAAATAGTGAATAAACATGCCCCTATTAAGGAAATGACATTCAAGTATAAAGGCAACCCCTGTATTACGTCTGCGATAAGGGATGAAATGAATATCCGGGATAAGTTACTGAGGAGAGCGCGAAGAACGAGATTAGAGAGTGACTGGTTGATTTTGAGAGCTAAAAGAAAAGAGGTTAAGAGAATGATAAGAAACTCTGAAATTGAGTTTGTTCAAAATAGGATTTCCGAATGCCATGGGAAGCCTGGAGCTATGTGGAAGATTATACGTAATTATGCCCCAACATCTAGAGCGTCTGCATCTACAGTCCAATATACCAAAGATACTCGGGCGACAGCCGATGAGTTTAATGATTACTTCACCTCTGTTGGCCAGAACACGGCAGAAACTGTTCTTAATTTAGCCAGTGAGTACAATATAGATATTTCTTCAAATACAGCTCCACCCGTTACACTTGTGTCAGAACAGTTTGAATTTAAACCAATAACTCAACATGACCTTGAGACTTGCATTGGTAAAATGCCTGCGAATAAATCGCCCGGAGCTGACAAGATTCCTATGAAACTTTTTCATGACTGTCTGTCCAACATTTCCTCTCCATTGACAGATATTATAAACCAGTCATTTGAAACATCAGTGTTTCCAGAGGACTGGAAATACACGGTAGTTGTACCTCATCTCAAGGAAGGGGACCATGAAGATGCCAGAAACAATCGTCCAATATCACTTTCACAATCTGCTTCTAAGATATGTGAGAGAATTGCCTTAAATCAATTTATGAATTACTTGGATGCAAATGACTTACTCACAAATCACCAGAGTGGGAACAAAAAATATAACTCAACAGAAACGCTGAATATCCATGTTACTGATTTTATACTTAAAGCTATGGATAAAAAACAGATGACCGTGCTAGTCCTGTTGGATCTAAGTAAGGCTTATGATAGTATAAACCATGATTTACTTCTTGGCAAACTCAGAAGCCTAGGAGTATCGCCATCAGCACTTAGATGGTTTTATAGTTATCTAACAGGCAGGAGACAAGCCGTACGCATTGGATCAACTTTGTCCAGTAAGCTACCGATAAAAAATGGGGTTCCACAAGGTTCAATTCTTGGACCTATCTTGTTCAGCTTGTATATTAATGACTTACCTACTGTTGCACAGCACTGTAACATTGAATCGTATGTAGATGATTCCAAACTATTTTTGGCTTTCTCCTTAAACGAATTAGATGATGCTGTAACCAAAGTTAACCAAGATCTTAAGTTGACCTTTGAATGGTGTTGCACCAACTACCTACTTATCAATCCTACTAAGACAAAGGTAATGGTATTTGGAGTACCCCAACTTGTTTCCAAGTTACCTCAGGATATAACATTTACTCTAATGGACAAACAACTTACAATTTCATCAAATGCGAAAGACCTTGGTGTCACATTGGACCCATATCTGAACTATAACGATCATGTAGCTAACGTAGTGTCCTCTTGTATGAGCGCATTGGTACAAATAAACAGAGTTCGCCACCTATTTAAGCGTGAAATTTTAATCAAAATCATAAATTGTTTGGTATTCAGTAAATTATATTACTGTTCCTCAGTGTGGGCATCAACATCTGAAACGAATATTGGAAAGCTTCAGTGTGTTCAAAATTTCGCTGCTAGGATAGTAACTGGAACGAAAAAGTTTGAACATATTACTCCCATTTTAAAAGACCTGAAGTGGCTGCCGGTTGCAATGGAACTTTATATTAGGGATGCTGTCATGACATTTAAATGTGTAAATGACCTTGCGCCATCTTATCTGTGTGGGAAATTGAATAAAAGACAACAAATAAGTGGTCGTATAACCAGACAATCAAATGACTTTCAGATACCCAAATGCAGAACTGCAACAGGGCAGAAGTCTTTTGAGTATCGCTCTGTATCTATTTGGAATTCGCTCAGCCCAACTGCCAAACAGTTGTCCTCAATTAAACATTTTAAACATTATCTTAAGAAACATTTTCTTAATATATTTTTAAAAAGTACCTAGATTGTAAAATTTCCTTTTAACAATTGCATGTATAACTTATAGACTTAATTTTAGAAATCATTTGTAAATTAATTATAAAATAACTTGTAAATTAGTTATGAAAAGCTCATGTTTTGAGATAACTAATAAATATGTATGTATGTATCTGGAAGGCAGGAAGTGTTTGCTAAACTGAAAACTACATTCTTCTGATCCAAAAAATCAGTTGCTCCATCCATCATCTTTTCGAACCAGATTGGAGACGTTCTCTCGAATGATCTGAAATTTGTGAAAAATGCGCATATGAGCAATGGCAATCCATCTACTGGAGCACATGGATTTCCGTAAGCAAAATCATGTACGTACATCGTTTGTTGGCATCTTTCAAATCAGCTACCGTACTTTGAACAATTTGACCAAATACAGGCTCCTTCTATAATACTAGAATTTCTGGTTTCGAACCTCACTACTTGAAACATGTGGTGGTTACTTTTAATAAAAATAAAAATCTAGCCTGGGCGCATTATACAGAAAATCGTGAAATTTTGATTATAGCATAAGGCCCATTTTTCACTTGGCGAATTTGTTCGTGGGAACAGTAAAAAAGTAGGAACTGTCCAACTTTTTTACTGCGAATTTTTTCGCTGACCAATCACATTGCCAAGATTTGTTTTTCGCTTGGCTCCACGCGAACAAATTCGCCTGGTGGAAATTAGACTTAACAGGTTCAATTCCTGTAAGAGGGCACATAGTTGCATTTTTCGTGCTCCAGGCTATGTAGATCTACAACTGTATAATATTGTCTTGCCAAATTTTCATCCACAACAATCATTTAACTGTTGATTTTATCGGGCGAGATGCCCAAAAATTTCAACATTTAATTATGGTACTGCGTCATTCCATTCCATTTCCTTTCAAATACAGTACCTCATATCATCATCCAATGTGAAATTTACTGTAAGTAAAAATAATGTTTCCGGCAGCTCGGTCCCTCCCTGTTTGGTCTGTCTACCACCTCTTTGAAAGGTTGACACCAAAATCTTTTTTAAAGTTGTCGGATGCGTCGGATCATCCCAGCAAACAGGAACACTTGTTTTCGTAAGTTCTGCTGAAAGGGACTCTCCTGATGTCTGCGAAATAAACTTTCCACCAATCAACTTGTTTATCAGTTGCAACGAAGTTGATTTGCCATTTGATGGATTGCCAACTGCCATTGGAACGGAACAGGAACCTAATGGCAAAAATTAAATTTCAAATTTATTAATATTTCATTTAAATAGGCAAGGTCTCAATCAATAAGTGGTAGGCCCTATATCTCAATCCCCATATGCTAATACA